TATAAGCTGCTGCTTATGCTTTACAGTTTTTTTTTCCTTTTTATTTTTCTCCTTTCCTTACTTACCCTTATTAATCTCCTTCTCTTAACCCCCCCCCCATCCCTTTCGTTTATTTGTACTTTCCTCGCAGGGATTATTAAAAAATTCAATACTCAAAGTGTATATTAATTACATTTACACATTTATGTAAAAAAAATATTTTTCTCCCTAATATTGTTCTCTTAAAATATATTAATTTCTTAAAATATTTTTTTTTTGTCAAAACAATTTTTTTATTGACATAATAAGTATTGGTAGTGGTAAAAGTGAGTTTTGGTCAGACAGAACGTTTCCAAGGACATGTTTAGTTTTATTAACAGTAATAAAAATCACTTTGGAGTCAGACTTGTTAAATCAGTAGTGAAAATCAGTTTCAGTCAGACAAGGTATTAAATTCTTGTATTTTTTATATTAGTAGAAAAATTCAGTTTTAGTAAGACATAATAGTTTAAATTATTAACAATATTGTAATAGTAGTAAAATATTATAATTTAGTAAGACCTTCAAAATTTTAAATTTGGTATTAGTATAGTAAAAGTCAGTAGAAGACAGACGTTATAAATTATTATTTTAATTTTTGTATCAGTAGTCAAAGTAAATTTTAGTCAAACAGTATACGATTTAATTTTAGTCAGACAGTGCGATTTGAATTCAGGGACTTTTAGTAGTAAAAATATAATTTAGTCAGATTATCTAATTTTTCTATTTGTAAATTTGGTAATAAAAAATGAAAAATATTTTTTTATCAGTAGTAAAAGTATAATTTAGTCAGACAATATTTACTACAGTTTTTTTTTTTAATAATAAATAATATTTTTTTTCTATTTTATAGAATTTAGTTAAAATTCTCATCTTTTTGTATTTCCCTATAACTATAAATTATGGCAAACGTAGATTTCGAATCAATATAAAAAAAGAGAATTTTTCTTTTAATTTCCATTGAAGGATAATAAAAAAAAATTTGTTTAATTATCTTTGGAAAAAAAGTGTACCCAATGGGAAACTGCTACGACCAGGGACTGTCTCGGACACGAAATGTTGTTGAATTTTAAGAAAGTGTCCGTGTAGTGTCGCGACTCGACACGTTTGAAAACAATTAAAAGTATCGTGGCGAGACCCGACACTTTTAAAAATTTTCAAATGTATCGTGGCACTACCCGACACAGTTAAGAAATTCATAATTGTATCGTGGCGAAGCACGATACGTTTAGAAATTTGTAATCGTATCGTGGCAGGACTGGACACGTTTACGAATTTCCAAAAGTATCGTGGCGCGACTAGACACATTAACAATTTGAGAATCGTATCGTATCATGACTTGCCACGACACGATAATTCTGCATAAATATGTCGTGTCGCATGAAAAAAAATTGTTCAATTAATTTAAACTTATCTATGATGTATTATCTATTATAATATAGTAGATATGGAATAATAATAATACTAATAATAATATGCATACAAAATAATATACAATAATATATAATTTTTATATTATATTATATTATATTATATTATATTATATTATATTATATTATATTATATTATATTATATTATATTATATTATATTATATTATATTATATTATATTATATTATATTATATTATATTATATTATATTATATTATATTATATTATATTATATTATATTATATTATATTATATTATATTATATTATATTATATTATATTATATTATATTATATTATATTATATTATATTATATTATATTATATTATATTATATTATATTATATTATATTATATTATATTATATTATATTATATTATTTCCACGAATTTCTGTTTTCATCCTATACTGTTTATTTTCATGTATTTCTTTTTGTATTATCAACAACTTATTGTCTAGTATGTAAACAAACCACACTTAAAATTAAAAATAATTTTGTTCAATAAAATTAATAGATTAATTTAATTTATTAACGTTTTAATATTATTATGATTTAAAGAATTGAAAAAAATGTAAGACTTGATTACGAATTCAATATCAGTTTTTTAAAATTCAAAATGGCGGATCCAATATACCGAATCAAAATAACTAAAAATGGGCAAATTCGTCTAAACCATGTTACCCAGGGGTTTTCGGGGTCGCTGATTACGAATCTGACATCAGTTTTTCAAAGTTCAAAATGGCGGATCCAATATGGCGGAAGACAAAATAAAAAATTAATCGGATATTGTATTAAAAACCTATTACTCGGGGGTTTTCAGGGTCATTGATTACGAATTGTGACAAAAGTTTTTCAAAATTCAAAATGTCCCAAAAAACGCTCGAGTAACAAGTTTCAAAAGATCCGATCCTTTTTAAAAAATTGTTCAGCATATTAGATCCGCCATTTTGAATATTAAAAAACTGATGTTACATTTGTAATCAGCGACCCTGAAAACCCCTCAGTAACCGGTTTCAATCCAATCCGATTAATTTTTTATTTTGTCGTCCGCCATATTGGATCCGCCATTTTGAATTTTAAAAAACTTTTGTCACAATTCGTAATCAACGACCCTGAAAACCCCCGAGTAATAGGTTTTTAATACAATCCGATTAATTTTTTATTTTGTCTTCCGCCATATTGGATCCGCCATTTTGAACTTTGAAAAACTGATGTCAGATTCGTAATCAGCGACCCCGAAAACCCCTGGGTAACATGGTTTAGACGAATTTGCCCATTTTTAGTTATTTTGATTCGGTATATTGGATCCGCCATTTTGAATTTTAAAAAACTGATATTGAATTCGTAATCAAGTCTTACATTTTTTTCAATTCTTTAAATCATAATAATATTAAAACGTTAATAAATTAAATTAATCTATTAATTTTATTGAACAAAATTATTTTTAATTTTAAGTGTGGTTTGTTTACATACTAGACAATAAGTTGTTGATAATACAAAAAGAAATACATGAAAATAAACAGTATAGGATGAAAACAGAAATTCGTGGAAATAATATAATATAATATAATATAATATAATATAATATAATATAATATAATATAATATAATATAATATAATATAATATAATATAATATAATATAAATTTAATAATTTACATTTGATATATATTCAATCTATATCTATTTTATTTTAATTTTATTTCTTGAAATGTTATTGAAGGATTAATAAACTGTCTAGATGTTGATCAACAAGTTTCATTGTATGCGACACGAAATTCATAATTATTTTTGTATTGTGTCGTGTAGTTCAGCCCCACGATACGATTCTCAAATTGTTAATGTGTCTAGTCGCGCCACGATACTTTTGGAAATTCGTAAACGTGTCCAGTCCTGCCACGATACGATTACAAATTTCTAAACGTATCGTGCTTCGCCACGATACAATTATGAATTTCTTAACTGTGTCGGGTCGTGCCACGATACGTTTGAAAATTTTTAAAAGTGTCGGGTCTCGCCACGATACTTTTAATTGTTTTCAAACGTGTCGAGTCGCGACACTACACGGACACGACACAAATATTTCGAGACAGTCCCTGGCTACGACCATTCGACAAGAAACAAAAATTTTCGATCACTGCTTATATACCAATCTAATGGCACCTCAACTGCGAGAAACAGTTATGATGTTCGCCCTCCCTGTGACGTAAGGCGAACTAAAGTCCAGAGCTGAGCCATCAGCGCAGCGCGGGAACATTTGAAAAGTTTGATTTTATTAGATATTTTATTTTACAATTAACGAATTATTAAGTATGACATTATTTTATTAATAATTATTTATGACATTAATTATTTATTAAGTTAATTATTTGTCATATTTAAAATAAAATATCTAATAAAATCAAATTTTTCAAATGTTCCCGCGCTGCGCTGATGGCTCAGCTCTGGACTTTAGTTCGCTCAACGACACAGGGAGGGCGAACATCATAACTGTTTCTCGCAGTTGAGCTGCCATTAGATTGATATATAAGCAGTGATCGAAAATTTTTTTTCTTGACGAAATTTTTTTCTGCCCGATGTCTTTCCTATTTATTGGATTTGAGACAAACTCTTTTTTGGAAGAAATGGTTTCACCAATACTTTGATGACCATTTTTTTATATTAATTTAATTATTAAAAATAAAATAATAATAATAATAATAATAACTATTAAAAAATAATAAAAATAAATTTTTTTTTAAAATTATTATTAAAATTTTTAATATTGGCTAATTATTCGTTGCCAATAATTTGCCAATGATGGTTGCCAATCATTGGCATCGGCGTGGACAGTCCATGACTTTACCAATAATGGTCTATTATTGGGTGCCATTATTGAAATTATATTGGCATCCCTGGCTCCCATTATTGGGCCATTAATACGTCAATGGTATTTTTCCCATTGGATAAATTAATTTTGCTTTGTATTTAGTTTAAAAAAAAGAGAGAAAGGCAAAAAAAAAAAAACTAATAATCATCTAGTTTTTTGTAAATTTCAATTTGCAGATATTCGGTTTTGAATGAAAACGTTAACCGTGGGTAATTACTTGCGCTCAATCCGGATACAATCAATTTAGTATGCGTTATAGCTCCCACAGCTGCTACTGTCCCGTGTTGCAAAGCCAGCCCTCACATTTCCGCACTAACGCCATCGGCCACGAAAGTCAAATATTCGATGAAATAGCGAAGCGCGCGTATACGCAAATCTCGAATTCATATATTCAATTCATAGAGAAACCTTTCCGCGAAAAGGATGAATTACGAGCGACGAGGGAAAGTCGATAGCGCAGAAAGGTGGATTTGCGCTTTAAACATAATCGAAAAAACCGCACAAAAACTGTTGCCGCAGTTCATTGAATAAAGAAAAAAGAAAAAAAAATTTATAAACACGCGTCAAAACAAGAAAATCGATTTTTAATTAAAAAAAAAAAAATTGTAACCATTTTTTTTCAAAAATTATTTTTCATTAATTTTTCTAGAAACAAAAATAAAATTTTTTTTTAAATTACTTACGTTCTTGTTCATCGTTGGAATGATTTTTCCTATGATGCGTTCGATGATGATGAATTTCAGGAATGGGAAATTTTCTTAAATCATTAAAATCCTGCTGATGGACATCAATCAATGGATTTTCAAGTTGTGATTCAACTTCTAATGTTGTTGAATTATCAGGATGTGAGATGTATTTCACTGTAATTGTGTAGAAACAAAAAAAATTTATAAATAATAAAATAAGAGTATATATATATATATAAATTTTAGAAAATTATTTTTCAAATTGACTTGATTTCAAGAGAAAATCTTCTCATCAATTTCAAGAGTAATCCAACATTTTAAGTATCATTTTTTTTTTATTGATCACCCTTCAAAAGAACAGATTTTGAGCCTAGACAAAAAAAACAAGATGCATTTTCTCACAATGAAGATATAAATCTTCAAAATGGAAACCTAAGATGTTTAATCTTCAAATAAAATATCACTGGCTCAATTCTGTGACATTTTACTGATTATTGACATTTAATTTCACGAGTCTCATTCCTATCTTCACTCGCATGATTTTTTGCACCTAAAATATTAACTAAAATAATAATATTGAAAAAAAAAATTAAATATATTTATTTTCAAAATATAAAAAAATTGTTTTGTAAACTATCAGCTGAAAGAAACTATTTTCTTTTAAAAAATTAGGATTTTTTTTGTTAACCAACAACAAAAACGCAAAAAAAAATTTAATAATGCAATAGAGATAAAATTTAACTTCTATTAAGTTAATTATATACTGAGATTTAATTTTAATTATAACAATTATTATTTTAATGAATTTCAGTTTCCATTTAAAAATATCAAAATGAATTTTAAACTTATATAAAAGAGAATTATGAAATTTAGATTTTAATGCCAAGTAATTAAGAATATTAAAAATTCATATAACTTTTAATTAGGTACCAAATTATACAATGAACAATTCTAAAATCTTTTTTAATTTCGAAACAACTATAAAAATTGAATATATAAACTAAGTGATATTTTATTTATCCAAAATAAGTTTTGTGACAAGTAGAATAATTTTATTCTCGTCTTTCATTTAATCGAACGATTTTATAAATAAATATATAACTGACAAATATTGATGAATTCAAATTTAACTCGAATCAAAAGTCAATATTTTCTTAAAATATTACCGATAAAGAATAAAAATTTACAGTTACTTTACAATGAAGTGTGACATTTACTTATCAGTAAATTATTCATTACCATATAAGGAATTAAATTTTTTCCAATTTTTTTGTTTGACTTTTTCTTTATTTTAAATTAAGTATTTACTTTTTTTTTCTTTTTCTTAATTGTCAATTTATATTTTTAACTGATTTCTCTCACTCTTTATTGATTTTTAATTTTATTCCAATATTTTATAATTATTATTTCTTTACTTCGTTTAAATTTTAAAATAACTACTCTCTAATTTTTCTTCTATAATTATTACTTTTAAATTATTTCTATAATAATTTCTAATTTGTTAAAATCCAATAGTTTTGCTAACTTTTTAATAGCTCTTCATAATTTATTTTCCAATAATTCTTTCCTCTAAGTGAATCTCATACTATTTCTATATATTTTTTTTTATAAAGATTATAACGTATTATAATTTTTATTACTACCATTTCCTTGATGTACCTTTCTCCATGTTAGCTGGCACATAAAGAAAAATTAGAGCAAAGGAAAAAGAAATTGAAAAAAAATTGCCTGCGGAGGCTGTATTAAAAAAAAAATTTACTCGAAGCAAATAGTTTTCATTTGTATTAAATAAAAAAAATATCCATTATTTCATTTAGGACTAATGAACTTCTTGTAAAAATCATTGGTCTAAATTTTCCAGTGTTTAAAAAATCATAATAATGGTTTTCCATATCACCAAATTTTATAAGTTGGCAAAATTTTATTTACCAGAATTTCTGCTTAATTTAACATTTCAATGCTACACTTTTAAGATTCATTATAATTTTCGTTGAACAAAAATTCTATTTAATCAAATTTTTAATTTAATAGAATTTCTTAGGTACTACAATAATTTTTCTATTTAACATAATTTCTGTTTGGCTGAATTTCTATTTAACAGAATATAGTAAAAAAAACTTTCTAGGAAAAAAAATATGTTTAGAACTACTGCTTAATATAAAATTCTGTAAAATTATTTTATAACTAACAAAAATTCAGTCCAATATATAAATTTTCAATCACTGGTAAATTAAACCAATTATTTTCAGGAACTATTCATTTGACTCTTGTAATAGTGTAACAAAAATGGAATAATTAAAAAATAATAATATCCCTCCAATGTGCATCCAGAGTAATTTTTAATCGAATCAAATTGAGAAATTTGAATTAAATAAAAATACATCAAGAGTTAAATAACTAGACTGGAAAAAAAATTTATTTGCTTCAAATAAACGGTTACTTTACTATTATCAAATAAATATTTACTTGAACCAAAATAATAATTTTTATTTAAATTAAATAAATATTTGAACTAATAATTTTTATACTTAACAAATACCATTTAATTGACTCAAATAATAATTGTTTAATACAAATATTTATTTGATACCGATTTATTTGAAGTAAATAAATTTTTTTTTCAGTGTATCAACTAAAAGAAAGGTTTGCGTTGACAATAAAACATTTGATTTAATATACGTGCAACCAAAAAATTATTTTGTTGCATCAACAAAATTTTGTTCAACCCAAACTGATTTTAGTTGATAGAAACAAAATTTGGTTAACACAATTAAATAGAAGAAATGAAGGTATTTTATTGTGTTATCCAAAGTTTGGCTATGCCAGCTAAATTTTAATTGGGAAATACCAAATTTTGTTGATCAAGAAAATTTTGAGTATTAAATAACAATTTTTGTCATCTCAAACCTTTTTTCTTAGAGTAATTCTCGAAACTCGTCGGAAAATGGCTTCTTTTCGTACTTGGGGCACAATGTACTATTGTGTAACATCTGCAAGAAAAGCGCCACTTTTCTGCACTCAGTGCAGGAAAGTATAATTTTCTGCACTCAGATCAATACTTTTTTTCTGCACACAGAAAAAATTGTGTAGCCCGAGCAATAAAATGTATGGTCAGTAGAACCAAATTTCGATTAGAACAAAATAATTCAGTTGGCACAACCAAAAATTTGATTGTATTCACCAAACATTTGTTTCAGTACACTCAGTGCAGGAAAGTATACTTTTTTGCACTCAAATCAATAGTTTGCCGCAAGAAGTGCAGAAAAGTATACTTTTCTGCACTCAGATCAGTACTTTTTTTTCTGCACACTGAAAAAATTGTGTAGCCCGAGCAATAAAATGTTTGGTCAGTAGAACCAAATTTTGATTAGAACAAAATAATTCAGTTGGCACAACAAAAAATTTGGTTGTACTCACCAAACATTTGATTCAGTACACTCAGTGCAGGAAAGTATACTTTTTTGCTCTCAAATCAATAGTTTGCCGCAACAAGTATACTTTTCTGCATTCAGATCAATACTTTTTTTTCTACACACTGAAAAAATTGTGTAGCCCGAGCAATAAAATGTTTGGTCAGTAGAACCAAATTTCGATTAGAACAAAATAATTCAGTTGGCACAACAAAAAATTTGGTTGTACTCACCAAACATTTGATTCAGTGCACTCAGTGCAGGAAAGTATACTTTTTTGCACTCAAATCAATAGTTTGCCGCAACAAGTGTAGAAATGTATACTTTTCTGCACTCAGATCAGTACTTTTTTTTCTGCACACTGAAAAAATTGTGTAGCCCGAGCAATAAAATGTTTGGTCAGTAGAACCAAATTTTGATTAGAACAAAATAATTCAGTTGGCACAACAAAAAATTTGGTTGTACTCACCAAACATTTGATTCAGTACACTCAGTGCAGGAAAGTATACTTTTTTGCTCTCAAATCAATAGTTTGCCGCAACAAGTATACTTTTCTGCATTCAGATCAATACTTTTTTTTCTACACACTGAAAAAATTGTGTAGCCCGAGCAATAAAATGTTTGGTCAGTAGAACCAAATTTCGATTAGAACAAAATAATTCAGTTGGCACAACAAAAAATTTGGTTGTACTCACCAAACATTTGATTCAGTGCACTCAGTGCAGGAAAGTATACTTTTTTGCTCACAAATCAATAGTTTGCCGCAACAAGTATACTTTTCTGCACTCTGATCAATACTTTTTTTCTGCACACTGAAAAAATTGTGTAGCCCGAGCAATAAAATGTTTGGTCAATAGAACCAAAATTTTGATTAGAACAAAATAATTCAGTTGGCATAACCAAAAATTTGATTGTATTCACCAAACATTTGTTTCAGTACACTCAGTGCAGGAAAGTATACTTTTTTGCACTCAAATCAATAGTTTGCCGCAACAAGTGCAGAAAAGTATACTTTTCTGCACTCAGATCAGTACTTTTTTTCTGCGCACTGAAAAAATTGTGTAGCCCGAGCAATAAAATGTTTGGTCAGTAGAACCAAATTTCGATTAGAACAAATTAATTCAGTTGGCACAACAAAAAATTTGGTTGTACTCACCAAACATTTGTTTCAGTACACTCAGTGCAGCAAAGTATACTTTTTTGCACTCAAATCAATAGTTTGCCGCAACAAGTGCAGAAAAGTATACTTTTCCGCACTCTTTTCTGCAAAGTATAGTATATAGTGTAAACTTTGCAATTAGTCAGCATAACCTTTTTATTCTTTAAAACCATTTAAAATAGCGTTTTCTCAATAAATAGATGTTACACAAAGCACCGTGTGTACCTCGTACAAAAGAAGCATTCGAAAAACAGCTTCTTGTTGCACAATGTACTATTTCCTCTGAATGTAAAATAAATTAGAAAAAAAAAATAAAATTCGTGATTCGCTCGCGTGTACGAACCTTGACCGACGAATTCGTCGAAAGCGGGGAGATCGAGAAAACGATCGACGGGTAGACGTTCGATTCTGAATTCATCGAGATCGTTGTCAGGATGATCAATTATTGCCCCGTGCTCATACGTAGGTCTTGGTGCAAATTTCTTGGTGCCATGTGCAGCCGATGGTGCGGGATTAATCTCGTCTACGGTGGGTGTAGGACGTGCTGGTGGCGATACAAGTACGGATGGTGCAGAAGGTGGTGGTGGTGCTTGTGGCAGTGCAGGGTAATCGTCATTATGATGATGACGGTGCCGGTGTTCTTGATGGTGGTGGTGCATATCCTGCACCACGGTACCATTGTGCCGTAGTACGCCATGCTCATTTTCGTGTGGCTGCAGGTGCTCGGTGCTGGAGGCGCGATCATGCTTGGAAAGTGACACAGATGAAGAAGAAGAAGAAGAAGAAGAAGATGGAGAAAATGAATTTGAGGATTTAGAAGGTGAAAAAGAATTAGAAAAAGAATTAGAAGAACCGAAAGAAGTGTCGCCGGTAATTTTTGGTTTAATCCCACCCTCGTGCCCTGACCATTTCCATTGTTGCTCACCGTCTTTTGTTCTTTGATGATGATTAGTAAAACCCTCGTGAGACGTTCGATCCTCGTCGATATCTGGATATGGATCGAACGTCTCGGAATTGATTTTTGGTGATAGTCCGGGACTACCTGGTAATTCGGGTACTTCATGATAACGATGTTGTGTACGATGATGACGTGCACCTTCGAATAATTCAAAGTCGTTGACGTCGTTGCCCGTGTTACGCGTACTCGCGGTCCCCGGGAATAGAAAATAGGGATACATACTGGTTGGAGGTAACCAGATCTCGTGGAGGTTCTCCTCTTGGGGATTGAAGGGGTAGAGTGCCGAGTCCGTGCCCGAGAGGTCTATGGACGCGGAGGAGGGCACAAATTCTGAAACAGAAATAGAAACGCGACCGAACAAAAGGTCAGTGCTGAAAAAATCACGCACAAGGGTTTTTTTTGTCATGTTTTTTTTTTCATTGGTGATTGGATATCATCCGGTCTAGCGTGCTTTTTTGGGGGGTTTCCATAGCAACCGTTTCTATGACAAACGGTACCAGAGCAACCAATTCCATGACAACCGTTACCATAGGAACCGTTACTATGACCGCTTTTTCCTTAGCAACGGTTGCTAAGGATTTTTTTTCATTAGCAACGGTTGCTAAGGATTTTTTCCTTAGAAATAATAATTTTAATATTGACCACGAAATCCTGCGATGGAGGCGCCATGCACCTGCTTCTCTCATATTTTTTTTTATAATCTTTACACGAGCGAAAAAAATAACGCTAGTCCGGATGACTTTTTTTGGATAGGAATTTTATAGATCTCTTCCCATTTGATTTTTTTGTTATTTACAATTCATTTTTTAATTTAATTGTATTTTATTGTATTAATCGTTATAGCAATTTGTATAATATAATTTAAAATAATTAATCAATTACATTAAGGAACAATTGAATTTTCATCCGTAATTCACGGTAACTAAAACTTTGGTATAAAATCAAAAAATCTTTTGATCTCACGTAATTTTTTTATATTATCAAAATTACATATTTGGATTAGTAATTTTTTATGTTACAAAAATTGGACTAACAATAATTTTTCTCACAGTTGAATATTAATTCAAAAAACATTTCAGTATTTTTCTTTCAAAGATAGTTGAAAATAGAAAATAAATAGTCGGTTAAACTTTTTTAAAAAGTGTAATATAAATTTAAAAAAAAAAAAAAAAAGTTTTACGTGCCTTATCAGTGGCTTAATTTTTTTTTTTGTCAGTAAAGATTCTACATGAATTGTCTCAAGTTTAGAGCAATTTTTTTTTCTTTCTCTAAAAGACAAACTTTATGAGACTTTTTCTCAACTTTGTTTAATTAAAAATTGTTATCTTACTTCTCCCATATAGTTGATTGTTACGTTAAGATTTCACCAAATGTGATTTTCATAAAAGTTTCAAAAACATTAATTATAATTTTATATTGTAAATATGAAAAAACTTAAATAAAAAAACTAACAATTATAATTTTTGATGTAATTTAATGTAATCTCTAAAATTCTTAACTAACAATTTTTACCGACAAAAATTTTCTAATAAGAGAATTTAATACGTGTTAATTACTTTATAATTCTATTACTTTTCTGTAATGTTCATAGCTAAATTGTGAAAATGTCAGTCAAAGGGAAAATGAATAAAAATTCTTCAACTTTAAATTATTTGTTAAAATTATTTTTGATAAACTTTTTTGAAAAAAATAAATTTTTTAAAAAAATTGTTATTGATTAAAATTTCCGATACACATTATTGACTCAATTGTATTATGTGCATAAAAAATACAAGAAATTTTTCATACAAATATAAAAGGACAGACGATAAATTTTTCACGGCAAAGCTAAAAATTTGTCCCTGAACTCCACCAACCCCCTTATAGATTTTACGGTTCGTTTAACTTTCGACATTTTCCACTTGACTGTCCCGTTCGATTGTCATGGGCGTTGACTCGAAGTGGGATTTGAGTACCTTACGACTGTTATATTCCAAAGTCTGAGCAATGTGAGATTGACGCACAGTAAACAAGCAAATTCTCAGGAGGAACTTGGCATTTTAGTATTACTGCCTGGGGCTTTTCTTTGACTTGAGAAATACGAAATTCAAAATTGAAGGAATCTACGAGAACAAGGCAACGTGATATCTCGACAAATACGTTATAACTTTTTCTTGAATCTCACTATATTTACATATACAGAAAAGAAAAACGAATTTTCAAATCAGAATTTTTTTGTTTTTTTTTTTTTTTTTGTCCCCCGAAACAAACGCAGTAAACATTTTATTTGTTTATACTGAAATGTTTTTTTGAAATCTTTTTATCATAAAAGTAAATATGTAAATATAAGAAAATAAAGAATTTAAATTCTCTGTTTTTGTAATTGAAAAAAAAAAATTCTATTGGCAATATATTTTTAAACTTTTAATTTTCACTTAAAAAAGTTTAAAATTTTTAAATCGATGGAAAACTTAAATCGACGGTAAAAAGAAAAGAAAAGTATAGTCAATTTTTGTCGCTATCTCTATATTGATGGTAAAAGGGTTTAATAGACCGTGAGAAAAATTGTTCAAGTTTCGGGCAATTTCTTTATTTTCCACGAGTTGAAAAATACTTTATTGAATTTTCTGGGAAGAGTCTTTTTTGCAGAAGAAGGGGGGGGAGGGGAAGGGGAAGGGAAAAATACAAAAGAGACAGAGAGTAGTTAGTAGAGTGTAAAGAGTGGAAAAGTCGAAACAGGCGCTAGAACAATGAAGAAGACACGTGAGAAAAAAAGAGTATAAGATTTGTCAGCATGCACAAGATACGAAGGAAAACTTGAGTAAAGAATGAACATGCCAAATTCATGCTATGCATACTTTTTGTACTCTGCTCCAGTGCACGTCGGTACCTTTAATATATTTTTTTTTTTTCGTAAAAATAGATAAAAAAAAAATACAAAAAATAAATATTTTTCCTCTAAATAATTAAACACACAAAATCGATCATTTTGCGAAATATTTGAAAATGAAATTCACGTAAATTAAACAAATTAACATCTCATTAATCTCGGATTGTTTTAATTTTAGATGTAATTTAAAATACGATATACTTACCAATATATATATATATATAGAAAGAGAGAGAGAGGGGCTTTTTGAAACAGTGTGTTAACTGATTAGAGTAGACATGACATTATCGTTGATTTATTCGTGCATTATTTGCGGAGAATTAACGGCGAATAATTTTCAACGTTTCACGCTGACGACATTTCCGGGCAGAGTACTCGTATAATTACGTGGTGCTAGTGCAACGTGCATATGCAGATACGTGATGCATCGCTGAACTACATTTCTGATTTGTCCGAAACCGATCTGTGTATATCGGCAGTCGTTTGTCTATTTTGTAATAAAAAAAAAAAAAAAAAAAAAAAAATGTGAAAAAAAATTTTTTTTTGTCCCTCGAGCCATTTGTGTATTTTTTTTTATATATCCATTGTACAACCTCAAGCTCAATTTTCAACTTTACGAATACAGATTTTTTTTTTCCATTCATCGACATGAAAATAATAGATTCACTGATTGCCATCAACTAAAAATTCAAGCGAAATGAAAAAAGTATTCTTATAAGAAATTTAATATTTCACGTCATTTTTTTTTAACAATTTTTTTTTTTAATAAAAAAATGTTTTTAATAAAAAAATGTTTTTAATAAAAAAAATGAGGAAAAAAATTTTTGAATATGTTTACAATATTAATTTATAAAAATTTTGATTCTTTAAATTTTCAAAAAACTTAATCTTTCGGAATTTATAAATACACATAAACCTCTTTTATTGAGACAAACTACAAAATCTCGTGTATCTCAATAAGAGAATTTCCAGTTTATATATTAATTTTATTGTCCAATAATTATTATAATTATTAAACGCAATTAAAATAATTACATTACAGTACAATATAAATAATTATTACCTTATTAGAATCAATAAAAAAAAAAAAAAAGAAATCGAATAAAAATTCTATAAAATTAAAAATAAATAGCTTATAATGCGAGAAAAATAATTGTATATAATGAATAAAAAATGTTATTTGCTTTCTAATTGAAATTAAATAAATGTGCAAAGCTCAACTTATCGGATTATAATTAAAGACGATTTTCACACATTAACACGAAGCATGTAATTATAAAAATACACGAAAAAGCCAACTTTCACACGTTTTAATGCCAAGCGATGCATTTATTCTAGTTTCACAATTTGTATAATCCCCACGTAAAAATATGTGAAATTTCAATTATTTATTATGTAAAATTATTTTTGGCAAAAAAAAAATGTCATTACTTTAAAATTTACCACATTAATAATCTTTTTTTTCGTTTAAAATTTACAATCAATTTTTTTTTTATATCAATAAATGTGTTTTCTAATATGGAGTTAAGAATAAAAAAAAAAAAAAAAAAAAAAAAAAAGTGATAGATTTTATAACTTTCAATCGCACACTTTTTGCCAAGTAAGTAAACGCGAAAGCTCACAAAGAAAAAGGGTGGTAAAATTTTATATCAGATATAATACATAAGAGTTTTTTTTATGCTTTTTTTTTCAAGAAAACAAGTTTCTTGTCAATCGATAGTCATAAAAAAATCAACAGAAACTACTAAGCTATAGTGACATCTGGTAACAAAAGTAGTTAAAAAAAAAGGTCAACAAATACATGTCCCATGAGAATTTACTTTTTTCTCTTCAGAATTCGATAAAAAAAAGAAATATTCTCAAGAAAAGACTGTAATTAAAAATCATAAATTAATTTATTATTTTTTTAACAGAAGTAAAAAAAACTATAATCACTAATTTCTTTATTTCTATACGATAATAAATTTCAATTACCATAATTTTGGAAAATAGAATTTCAATATCATAATTTAAAAAAAAAAACAATTCGAATATTTTCGAGGAGTTTTGAAAAATGAATTTTTGAAAATAAATTTTCAAAATGAATTTTCAAGTGATTTAATGATAATAATGAATCTGATTGAATGTGTCCCATGGTAGTTGTACCTTGATCATTTGATAAATAAATTGTGATGATTAACGTATATTGTCACGCATAGTAATATTATTAATAATTTGGTTTTCTACACATGTATATTATATACATAAAGGAGAGCTAAATACACATTTATGAAAGCTCGCAATTACACACACACGATAATACTTACATTTATATTTTCCCCATATATATCGTATAAATGTATAAATAGTTTATCGCAATTGGTGCGTGTATATGCGTGTGTTTATATACACCATTAAGAGATACTAACAGAAAGCCTCGTCAATCCAAGGTGAGCGATTGAGATCAAAGGAAATCATTATTCCCAATTCTGATTGTACACTGATGGAATCAATGGTGTCAACTGTAAATAGGGGCGAAGAGAATCCTCTCTGAAGGGAATCTTACTCATCAAATTGTTGCCATTTACACACACATACAAACACAACCATTAAAAAGAAACCCTAATTTCCCACCACTTTCATCCAATCGCCTTTGTAAACCAAACGCTTTGGAATTTTCTTTTATTTCCAAAATGCATTTCCATAAATGTATTAATAAATATTTAACATAATTTTAATTTTACACGGAAAAAAAATTTTTTATCTAGAACAGTGATATGTTTCTCTAGAATAGCGAAAACTTTCTCTCTTTTAGTAAAACTTATCGCTGTTCCAGGTGAATTTTTTTTTTCCGTGTAAGAATTAAAATATTTTTAAGAGATATTTTTTTAAAATTATTTACAGTATTATGAAGCAAAATGGATAGTTATGAATTAAATAAAAAGGAAATTTAAAAAAAAAATTATTAAATTACGAATATTAAAAATTATTTAGAAAAAAAAGTAATTTATGTAATTGATTTGTAATATTTTTGGTAATAAGCGTTTGAATTTTTTTTTTCACCCTGAATTGACGAGATTTGCAGCCCAGACAGACATTGAGTTAATTTTTTTTTTTTTTTTTTGTTACTGAAATAACATGAATTTTACAAAATAAAGAAACCAAAAAACACAAACAAGATAAAAGTACTTTTTAAGTTTCAAGATATATATATCATAAAACACTGACACATACGATATTTGTAACTAATGTTATTATTAGTTTTTTCGTTATTAATTTTGATATTGAAATAACTTACCAATGCAGGGATTATGATTCACGACTGAAAATATTCGATCGCATCGTCTTTTCATGTGATTGTTTGGACATATACAGCCAAACATTGGCGATTTTCGTAATTGTGTCCAGGCATCATGGCAAGCATCACTGTAACAGAAAAAAAAATATATAAAAGTTATAAAAGTTACAAAAATTACAAAAATTACAAAAAATAAAAAAAAGTACAAGAAAATTCTATTCGAAAATTATTTGTAATTTCATTATATTATAATTATATTCTAAGAAAGTTTTAAGAAAAAAGTTTCCTTAAGTATATTACTGTATTAAGGGATGAAAAAACTGGAAAAAAATTTGTAGTAGATATATAATAGTTGAACCAATTAAAATTTTTTTATTTTTTTTTATTTCAGTATTTTGTCTCGCATTTGAAAAAAACAGACTTAAAAATCATACCAAATTTTTTTCTTATTTCTTATGACTCCCATAACAGAAATTCACTTGAATTTTTGATTTTTGTTAATTTGGTTAATAATGACAAGCTGTCCCCATTTACCCCAAAAATTTGAAAACTCAGGGTAAATGGGGACAGCTTGTTATTATTAACCAATTTGATAAAAATCAAAAATTCAAGTGAATTTCTATTAAGGGAGTCATAAGGAATAAGAAAAAAATTTGGTATGATTTTTAAGTCTGTTTTTTTTAAATGCGAGACAAAATACTGAAACAGTTTGACTTTGATTTTCAAGTTTTTATGCATTGAGCGATAACTTTTTTTATCTTGCTGCCAATTGTCAAGATAAAAGCTTGGCAATACTCAAAACCTCTTGCAGGTGATATAAGATTAAAATATTGTAACGTTTTTCTAGTTCTAAAAATATCGAAAAACCGAAACAATTAAAAATTCACAATCTTTCAGAATTTATGTATAAATATTTAGTCATTATAAAAATAATCATTCAATATTGTTATTCAAAGTGAATCAATTATAAAAGAAAAACACTGATTTATCCGTCCAAAATCAATTTTTATATTATCAACAATAATTCAGCACAAAAATCGACCTGACGTCAGGAATTCAAGTATATAAATATAACAAATAATAAACATACACACATTCAAATTCAATATAAACATATAAAGAAACCTTGTCTTTTAGAAAATATCAAATCATATAAATAGTTGCGATCAATGAAAAGATATAATAAAATTAAATATTCGCCAATTCGTCCAACGACTATCAAACACTCTCCATTCTTATGGTCATTCAATCAATTTGAGAAATAATGGTATAAATAATAAAAATAAATCTCTTGTTCTCATCCAAATACATGATGAGATGACGGACGACATTTAGGGATCATTTTCCGGAAGATATCCACGAATTAAACCATTCACTTATCTAGAAGAACTCCTGGTAATGATTCCGGTTCCGGTTATCCAATTTATGTTCATCCCGTCACGAATTGTATTAATTTATCCATTTTTAGAATAAGACCCAAATGACACAAACGGCCACACTTTATTTAACAACAAAAATTACAAAAATCACCGATAAATAAAAATAATAGACATTTTATAAATTTAAGAAAGATATTTAAACAAAATTTACAATAACTACCTTTCCGTGTCCTCGGCCGGCACGTGAGAGCGTAGCCGTGGCTGAATCAATCGTTGACGAATTGCGAAAGTCAAGTAATTAATTATTCGCATTGATCTCATCGATACGACGATTCAACCCGCCAGTGCCCCCACCCCTGCCCAATTATTAGAGAACACAGAAATTAAAGTTAAATTTGATAAATACACGGGAGCCGAACCGGTCACATTATTCAGGAGCTCATCGACATTTCTCAAAAAGAGAATATCGCTTCAAGCTCCAAAACCTCTTGTCCCCATTTACCCCAACTGACCCTAATTTTATTTTGGTTTCAATTAGTTAAGATATTGAAACAATTATTTCTATTATCACGCAAAGAAATTTTAACCTGGAACAGCAATAAGTTACACTGGAATAGCGAAATATTTACTAAAACAACAAAAGTTTTCTTTATTCTAAAAAAACGTATCGCTATTTCACATAAAGATTTTTTTCCGTGTAAAAAAAATAAAAATTACTTTTCAATACAATTTATTTTTTGTGGAAATATGTATGAGGCATTCTTTGTCAACTGAAGCCCCCCTCTGTCCAAAATTGGTTTAAGTATAAAATATCGGGCATAGGCCTATTATTTCAATAAAAATAAATACTTTTTAATTTCGTGTGGCGTTTTTCAAAATTCAAAATGGCGGATCCAATATGGCGACTAACTTTCACAAAATTGATTGAATTTACTTGGAAATTGTTACTCGGGGGTTTTTGGGGTCGCTGATTACGAATCTGGTGTTAGTTTTTAGAAATTCAAAATGGCGGATCCAATATGGCGGATTAAATTTTAAAATTTACTCGGATTCTTCTGAAATTTCTTACTCAGGGGTTTTTGGGGTCGCTGATTACGAATCTGGTGTTAGTTTTTAGAAATTCAAAATGGCGGATCCAATATGGCGGATTAAATTTTAAAATTTACTCGGATTCTTCTGAAATTTCTTACTCGGGGGTTTTTGGGGTCGCTGATTACGAATCTGGTGTTAGTTTTTAGAAATTCAAAATGGCGGATCCAATATGGCGGATTAAAATTTTAAAATTTACTCAGATTCTTCCGAAATTTGTTACTCGAGTGATTTTGGAGTCGCTGTGTACGAATGCGGTGTTAGTTTTCATAAAATCAAAATTGCGAATCAAAAGACCAAAGACCAATCAAAAAGTGCGCCGTACATTTTTTGTTTAGAACTTTCTTCTAATCACTATGGCGGTATTCCCGAAAGATTATCTAGCGAGTTTAATTTTTTGAAAATTTCTCCAAATTATTTTTGAGTTTAGCTCAGCATCCGCTCGACCAATCAATAGGTGCGCCATACATTTTTTGTTCGAATTTTTTTCCCTTTTTTATTGGCGGTATTCCGGAACGATTATCTCGCAAATTTAATTTTTCTGAATTTTTTCCAAATTTGTTTTCTATTTTAGCTCAGCATCCGCTAAACCAATCAAAAAGTGCGCCATACATTTTTTGTTCGCTACTTTTTGCTAAAGACTTTGGCGGTATTCCCGAACGATTATCTCGAAAATTTAATTTTTCGAAAATTTTTCATAAATTTATTCGAGTGTAGCTCAGCATCCGCTGGACCAATCTAAAAGTGCGCCATACATTTTTTGTTCAAAACTTTTTCCCTATTATATTGGCGGTATTCCCGAACGATTATCTGGAAAATTTAATTTTTCAACAATTTTTCCAAAATGTTTTTTAGTGTAGCTCAGCATCCGCTGGACCAATCAAAAAGTGCGCCATACATTTTTTTATCAGAACATTTTCACTATTTTTTTGGTGGTATTCTTGAGAGATTATAACGCAAATTTAATTTTTCGAAAATTTTCCGAATTTATTTTTTAGTATAGCTCAGCATCCGCTGGACCAATCAAAAAGTGCGCCATACATATTTTGTTCGCTACTTTTTGCTAAAGACTTTGGCGGTATTCCCGAACGATTATCTCGAAAATTTAATTTTTCGAAAATTTTTCATAAATTTATTCGAGCGTAGCTCAGCATCCGCTGGACCAATCTAAAAGTGCGCCATACATTTTTTTGTTCGAAACTTTTTCCCTATTTTATTGGCGGTATTCCGGAACGATTATCTCGCAAATTTAATTTTTCTAAATTTTTTCCAAATTTGTTTTCTAGTTTAGCTCAGCATCCGCTGGACCAATCTAAAAGTGCGCCATACATTTTTTGTTTGAAACTTTTTTTTCAGAAAAAATTTAGAAAAATTAAATTTGCGAAATAATCCTTCTGGAATATCACCAAAGTCTAAACCCGGGAGTCTCGACAAAAAATGTATGGCGCACTTTTTGATTGGTCCAGCGGATGCTGAGCTATACTAAAAAATAAATTCGGAAAATTTTCGAAAAATTAAATTTGCGTTATAATCTCTCAAGAATACCAACCAAAAAAATAGTCAAAATGTTCTGAACAAAAAATGTATGGCGCACTTTTAGATTTGTCCAGCGAATGCTGAGCTACACTCAAAAATAATTTTGAAAAATTTTAAAAAAATTAAATTTGCAAGATAATCGTTCGGGAATACCGCCATAGTGATTAGAAGAAAGTTCTGAACAAAAAATGTATGGCGCACTTTTTGATTGGTCTTTGGTCTTTTGATTCGCAATTTTGATTTTATGAAAACTAACACCGCATTCGTACACAGCGACTCCAAAAACACTCGAGTAACAAATTTCGGAAGAATCTGAGTAAATTTTAAAATTTTAATCCGCCATATTGGATCCGCCATTTTGAATTTCTAAAAACTAACACCAGATTCGTAATCAGCGACCCCAAAAACCCCCGAGTAAGAAATTTCAGAAGAATCCGAGTAAATTTTAAAATTTAATCCGCCATATTGGATCCGCCATTTTGAATTTCTAAAAACTAACACCAGATTCGTAATCAGCGACCCCAAAAACCCCCGAGTAACAATTTCCAAGTAAATTCAATCAATTTTGTGAAAGTTAGTCGCCATATTGGATCCGCCATTTTGAATTTTGAAAAACGCCACACGAAATTAAAAAGTATTTATTTTTATTGAAATAATAGGCCTATGCCCGATATTTTATACTTAAACCAATTTTGGACAGAGGGGGGCTTCAGTTGACAAAGAATGCCTCGTATATATTTTATTTATTAACATATTGAGAAAAATTTTCTTTTCTAAAAATAGAAAATTAAAAAACCAGTTACCAATATGATTATATAATAACGAAGAAAAGAAAAAAAGAAGCATTAAGAAATCCCAAGAGTATCTGATTATTTCACAGGTTGCAGGAAGGCATGTGTGTTTTATACACCATAAAACTTAAAAAAAAAATATATATATATATAGAGAGAGAGTTAGTTTATCTAGGGAAGATTATATAAAAGTTAAGTGAGACAAGAAGAAGCAGGAAAGTTCTTAAGAACTTTTTACCATAATTAGCTATTAAGCTTAACAATATAATGCAGTGAATGCCTTTCGTCCAAGAACAAGTGAATTGCACATTTAGTAAGATAAAAAAAAGGGTA